TTATAATTGATTTATCCACCACCATTACTACATTACAAGTCCATTATTTATTTATCTTTACCTGTAAGATTTATACTTTCATATGTTTTTCTGTTACTAATTAGTGCCCTATTTTTCAACTTGAAAACTGCCTTTAACATTTCTTGTAAAGTCCATCTAGTAGTGTTGAAATCCTTTAGCATTGGCTTATCTGGAAAACTCTTTATCTCTTGTACTAAAAACAACCGCAAATACTAATACGCTAAAACAACCATCTGTCACAGTTGTACACATTTTAAAATAAAAACCTTACATAATACAATAACTGTACCTAGCTAGTCTATTAGATAGGACAGAGGAATGTAAATGTCCCTTGGTATTACCACTAATAGTATTAGTCAGATAATCTTTAATAAATATCAATTAAAAGTATTCCCTTAGTGATCTTAAAATATATGTAAGAGATTTTAAAGTAGAGGTTCTTATTTCAGATACTGTGTATGGAAGGAAAGTACAACAAATATTTAAAAGCAATTCATTTTACACAGAAAAACATGCTCCAAGATGATACATTGTAAAGTGATTTATAGCATATTGACTGTGGTGCTTCTAATGAAAAAGTAATTGTACAAGTTTTCCCTGGAGAATATTCTCAGTAACAACAATCCATGCTCATGGAGAATCATGAGTTAGAAAATGAGAACCAAATGAACTCACAGCTGGGAAAAGCCAACAATAATTAATTTAACACCAACTATCTGTAGGGGACATGTATACATTTAAAAATTTCTCTTGAGAGAAACAAGGTTATTGAAGGGCACAGACCACTAATTTATTAACATGTTCAAAGAATTTTTTCTTAATAAGATAATATGCTCCATTAAAAAATAACTTGTTTTAGGGCTAGGAGGTTATGATAAATAGTTGGTCAACACCATCATTTGAATTTTAATAGTGTAGCAAAGTGAGTTCACATTGAACTTGGACAATATATTCCCCAACAGTAGTAGAGAGAAAACAGTGTCATTAAAAGGGGCTTTATTCTAATTCATTGGCTAAGAAAATGGGAACAGTTTGAAGTCTTCCATGTTGTTTCATTTTAATAAGCAGCAAGCATTTTTCATGTCCTTATTAAAGTGGTTAATGTCTTTCTCTAGTCTCATTATCACCGCCAGAGTATACTCTCTGTTGTTTCTTAACTAGGACAATTCCTGTTCATTTCAGAGATCAGAAAGTCAAATCTGATTGCTCACATGTGGTTGTTAATAAGACTCCTATTGTGCTGCTCAAGGTACCCATGGGGATTGTACACTTATTTATATTTTCTTATGGTTTTCTATAATTACTGTGATTGTACTTTCACAAAGTAAATGTATCTCCACCAATTAAAGCAGTGGTGGGTTAAGAATATTCATCAGACTTGTGTGAAAGGATATTGTTCTTAGGGTTTGATCAAAGCATAGAAATTAAACTGCTGTTATCATGCATTCAACCCAAGAGTTAAATTAAAATGCTCAGCAACTTTGGAGTTTATTTAAGCTGATGTGAACTATTTCTGAAAATAAACATGATACAGGACTTGCATTCCTGATATGACTCTTTGTTGTATTAAAAGTGGTGGAAAAAACAACTATATAATCTTGGGGGATATAGTTTACGGTATATGACCAACTTGATTACTATTAATTCAGATCAATTTAAAATTTCAAAATCATAAAATTCCAAAAACCTCATTTTGCTTCACCTCTTTTTTTTTTGAAGGCTCCAGGATTAAAAAAAAGAATATCCATGAAAACAAGCAGCTGAGGCTATCAACTAGAGAAAACACAGTCGCTTTTCATGTTTTGCTGCTTAGAAATTTCATTGTATCTGGTTTGACAGTGCTTGCGGCAGAAGTGATCGGCTGTGCTTCCATTCCATTAGCTGTCATTCTGATGCTAGACGTTTAGCCTGCTGTGTGCGAGATGGGACTGTCCCTACACAATTCCCATCAAAGGTAATTTTCTGTGCAATGGTGTGTAAAATTTACCTCTAATTATGATAAGGTCACTGATGGGTTACTTATGATATGCTCTCTGGAGACCACTGTGGTGAATAGCTTTCGGCAAGCTTCATCTGGAGAAATTAAATTGGTTTGACCATGACTCAATAGAAAGTAAAAGTCTCTTAGAAAATTCTTCCTCAATCATGTTTAAAGCCCTAAAGAAACTGAAAGAGGAGAGAGAGAGAGAGAGAAAGAGAGAGAGAGAGAGGAGGGGGCAGAATGCATAGTGGAGAGCTATAATTCTTTGTTTGAAAAAAGAAATGGC